CAGCCACAAGCGCGTTGTTGTCAAGTGTTTGTTTAGGCGTCAGCGAAAGCTGGGCCTCCTCAAGTCGAAAAGAACTCAACATCATGTTCACCATGTTCACAACTATTACAAAGTTCTACCTGCGGAAGGCCTCATCAGCGGTCTACACAAGCTGCACTTACGCCAAGTGTGAGCTCTCTGGCCATCTACAATTCACCGCGAGCTGGCCACCCGAGCCGGTTTCAGAAGTGTCGGTGCAAACGTACGCGGAGGGCGATCCCATGGAAGTATTCTCTCTGCGCGATCTTACTCACTGCCGTTCGGTACGTGTCTTCGGGCTCGCCATGATGAGAGGATCTTGGATCCCGGACCCTATCCGAGACCAGCACCTCAAGCTGTCATGACACTTTGCAAAGTACGTACAGATCTGCAGCTCCGGTATGAGGCGCCATACTGAAGCGTGTCTTATGTAGAAATCACAAGCCCGCTCACGACGAATATATCTCAAGTGACCTCCATGCGCAGCTCTCGTGCCGTTCGTGCGCTCCGTGCTTGCGCCTCTTGTCCGACCTCGGCGTTCTCTCTGGACCGGATCCGTCAGCAAAGGGGAGCTATGTGCTAGTACCGACGTGTCAGTACCAAGGTCAGCAGTGGTAGCAATGAATATCACGGGCGACTCATATGTCCTTCCGGTCCTGGCAATCCCGCTGTAGGTCTCTCGCGAGTTGCTCTCAGGCTTGCTTCTGACGCCTTCTCGCTCTCTAGGTATTCCGGCTTATCTCAGAAGACACTGCAGCGGTAAACTCTGCGTCCAGACCACGCATGAGAGCGGATGACGACGATACGACTCCAGGGTACCGCGACCACGTGGTCGGGGCGACTAGGGCCGTGTGACGGAGAACTTGTCAGTTGACCGACCCTTGCTCTCGGCACCCCTATTCTCGCGCCCGCGATATAATGGTTCAGGTGAGGACGTACCTTCTGTGTACACATCCCCCATGGCGGCGGTAGACACCCCCACTGTGACACTGCCCACCCTTGACCGCCTCGGAGTGTCTGCTGCTCCCAAGGATGTCGACGCGAAGAAGGTCGCGTCTCTTTGGTTCGACTCGCTCGTCAAGCAGATTGAGGACAAGAACATCGATGGCATCCTCTCTCTGTTCCATCCTGATGCCTGGTTCCGCGACATGCTCGCGCTGACCTGGGCGTTCCGTACCTTCCATGGCGCGTCGAAGATCCGCAAGTACCTCGAGGACACGCTGTCTGCGCACACGCTCAGCGCGTTCAAGCTCACGGACGCGACGTTCCAGAGCCCATACCCCGATCTCGCGTGGATCCTCGGTCAGTTCACCTTCGAGACCGAGGTCGGGGTGTGCAGCGGCATCTTCCGCATTATCCCCACCGCCGACGGGCAGTGGACGGGCTTCACGTTCTACACGAACCTTGAGGAGCTGAAGGGCCATCCGGAGAAGATCGGGCCCAACCGGAACCCCCTCCCGAACCATGGCAAGTGGCTGGCGCAGCGCGAACGCGAGAAGGAGTTCCTGGACAGGGACCCGACTGTCCTTGTCGTCGGCGGTGGGCAGAGCGGGTTGGATGTGGCGGCGCGCTTGAAGCACTTGGGCGTGCCGACGCTGGTTGTGGAGAAGAACGAGCGCGTCGGCGACCAGTGGAGGCACCGATACCAGGCGTTGTGTCTGCACGATCCGGTTTGTGAGTACCCGCGTCCCGGATGTTACGAGCCATAGTCGCTGAACGGTATCCTGACTGCCAGGGTACGACCATATGCCTTATCTTCCGTGAGTACCCGCGCTTCGCCTGACGTGCTCGATGCTGATGCGCGCGGTCAGCTTCCCACCGAGCTGGCCCGTGTATACTCCCGCGCAGAAGCTCGCGGGCTGGCTGGAGTACTACGCGGAAGCGCTGGAGCTGGACGTGTGGACGAAGTCCACCGTAGTGAAGGCAGTGCAAGATGCGAACAACGAGTGGGATGTCACTGTCGAGCGCGGCGACGGCTCGACGCGTGTGCTGCATGTCAAGCACCTGGTGTTCGCTATCGGTCTTGGGGGCAACAACCCGTACTTCCCGAACATCCCGGGAAGGGAGGAGTACCAGGGCCAGGTGCTGCATTCGACCCAGCACAACTCGGCGAAGGATCACTTGGGAAAGAAGGTGTTTATTGTTGGCTCTGCGACGTCGGGTGAGTCTGTCTCTTGGCAGGAGCTACGTGACTAGGCAGAAGCTCATATCTGTATCTCACTAGCGCACGATGTCGCCTCTGACTACGTCGAACATGGTGTCGGTACGTGTTCCGGACCCCACTGAGAACTCCTGTAGACCTCGACGTCTTTGCAGATGTCACCATGTACCAGCGCGACAAGACATACATCATGACCACGAAGGAGGGCATGCCCCGTATGCTCGGACGTACGTCTCCAACTGTTCACCTCTACTCTGACCTCTCACGAGGCTCTGTAACGTACCGCAGATCTATGGTGGGAAGGCCAGTGGCCAACTGAGGTTGCAGACCGCGTCGACGCCTCGTTGCCTACCTTCGTCACGGAGGAGATCTCCAAGCGGACTACCCGCGAGATCGCAGAGGCCGATAAGTGCGTTTCTCTCCCTGTAAGCATCCGTCTGTGTTCGCTGACAGGTGCACAGGGAGCTCCTCGACGACCTGAAGAAGGTCGGCTTCCGGACGTACCTCGGGGACCGCGGGTGCGGGTTCCTGGGTATGGCGAAGAGGAGGGGAGGCGGGTACTACCTCGACGTCGGCGCGTCGCGGATGGTAGCCGACGGGAAGATCAAGCTGAAGAACGACAGTGTGATCAAGCGGTACACGAAGACGGGCCTCGAGTTTGAGGATGGAAGTACCGTCGACGCAGACGTGATCCTGTTCGCGACTGGGTACGTTCGTGCGCATCGTCGCTACCCTTTGTGGTCACGCCTGGCCTTAACACCGTGGTACGTTCTGGCATGGAGTTGACGCTTTCCGTTCGCAACGCAGCTTCGACAGCCCGATGATCACGGCCGAGAAAATCCTCGGGAAGGGCGTGACGGACCGCCTCAAGCCCCTGTGGAGCGTCGACGAGGAGGGCGAGATACGCACGGCGTGGCGCGACAGCGGTGTGCCCAACTTCTGGTTCATGATGGGGAACCTGATGTTGTGCCGGTTCCACTCGAAGCATCTCGCGTTGCGTGAGTCCATGCCCGGAGACTGTCAGTCGGTCAGGAGATGCTAACGAGCATTTGGATTGGATGGAACAGAGATCAAGGCCATCGAGGAGGGGATCCTGAAGGGTAGTGGACCGGAGGGCCGTTACCTGGCATGAGTAGAGCGATAGATGGACGAATGGTTAGATGGATGAATGGGATGGGTGAATGTATGAATGTACGATTAAGTACGGTGCGTCTTGAGTCTCATGTCGAGCTGTCGAGAAACTGCTCACGAAATGCTGTGTAGGAAGCACTGTATGTAAGATAGGAAAAGTTCGAAGGGACGACATACCATTGCCTGCAGGCATGTATTGCAAACCTTGTGGTGTCTCGGTCGACCCGTCAGTGGGCACTCCGTCGTCCCCGGCGTTGTGGCGGGTGATCATGTTCAGACTGTGAAGCGGTGCTGACGCGGACTCGGAGGTGGTAGACGATGCTCCAGATGCGTAGCGTGTCATCGAGTCGCCGAGTTTACCTGTCGTCCTTTGCTCTCTGATGGCCGCGTTGGTCGGCTAGTAGGGTCCGATATGCGTCTCAAGTCTCGACCGTCACGATTCTCCACTGGCATGACAATATAAGTCGGCCACGTGTTCACCTCCCTCCCCGCTTTCCATCGTTCTGCCCCGACTCTACGCCTCGTCTATGACACGATGTACCCAGTCCATTGAACTACAGTGCGCGATCAGATGTCCTGACACACACTGGCCTCTGCACGCGGTTCTGTGGGTTACTGATGGATAAAGTACACTCGGTCAGTACCGGGATGTAATCTGAACTCACACAGTTTGCTCAGCTGTGAAGCGACGATGTGGACCCATCTGCCAACCAATATGATTGATTGCTCAGGCAACAGTCCTTCTCGACACGCATGCACGTTGGCTAGTGACCGCTTCCCCATTTTCCCCCGACGTTAGTCTTCCCACTCTGCACCGGCTCAGCATGTCAGTTCTTCCCACAAAGGTCGACGATCGACGGATAGAGAGGACTGCATTCAGATGGCTCGACTGCGTCGCGAAGCATATCGAGTCCAAGACGTCAATGCCATTCTCGCCACGTTTTCTGAGGACTACTACCTCGGTACGTGCCCTTCGTGATGCTTGCTGCGATATTGTCTGACAGACGAAAACGCACTGTTTCCGGTGCCAGATGTCGGCGGTGCGTCTCAAGGCGGGTCTAGCTGAAGGACAACACTAGTCCGATCAAGCGGCGATACACCTGGCATCCGGGAACTTGAGCATCGTGGACGCGGACGCTATTCTCTTCGCGACTACTACGCTTCGACAGCCCAGTTGTTACGCTCGCGAAGGCCCCCCGCAGGACGTCGGCTACGCAGGTCGACCTCCTGAAGAGGAAGACTGTAGGGTATATCAACTATGGATGATGTGCGACTTCTACAGAGGTAATCTCGGAGTTGGAATTATGGGCGCGGTTGCCAGTGGTCGCACAACAGGAACTATATCGTAGCATCACAAATATTGCGACTAACGCGAGCCGGGCAGGCTCAAGCTGTAAACTTCCAGCCAAGTTTCGCCATTGGTTCAGAAGCCTTGCCTGCACCAAACTCCACTGGCACTGTGATCAAGCAAGCAGGAGTAGCAGTCGGCGTGGCCTGCGTCTTCGCAACATTGAATCTTCGATAGCGGACGTTGGTCAGTTGTACATACGAAGGTGCTACTTACGCCCACAGTGAAACCCATGTAGTAAAACCCGTCGGTCAAGCTTTCAATATTGAAGTCAAGATGTGTGCAGGGAAGCGTGATACTATCTCGACTTCACGAGGGAAAAACGTCGTTGACACTCACATCTACACTGAGCGGGAGTCGAACCCACGCCGCTTGCTACCGCGATGACCCTGATGGAAGGCAAGCATGATACCGTTTCACCATCAGTGTGTCGCGACTCACTACTTGGTACAAACATCCATAGTAGTAGTTGCACCCTCCAAGGGCTACTTGTAGCTCGCGTTCGCCCCGTCTTGTGCACGAGGGTTGCGTCCGAAGACACCGAGACCGTGGGAACAGGGGGGGAGGGGGGGTCCACGGGGTCTTAATGCACTTTCGGGAGTCCACCTGAAGCGCCCGATTCCTACGCAGGGACGACCACTTAGGCATCCGAATATACTCTTTAGTCATGTCCCAAGCTCGCTGGCTGTCCGCGGATCCGTCCCAAAACATTTCTGGATGCCAGTGTGTTGCTCGAGCCATGAGGTCTGCTTTTCCTCCGCTACCTGGACTGCTACCAGCACGCCGACATGGCAAAGAAGAAGGACAAGCCTCCGGGTGAAGTAGTGGTAAGTGTGGAGGTTAGCAAAATGCTCTTACGCTCATATAACATCAAGCCATCTGAAGAAGATACTCGCTTCCCTGCATACCTCCCGTACCTCCGAACTGTTGGAGCCGGCATCACCGTCGGGCTTGAACTTGGAACCGTCAGATCACACAGACGGCCGTATTTGTATCTGCGAAGAAGTCAGCTCATCTGCTATGGTACAGTGCGATGGACCTGGATGTGGACAATGGGTAAGCACCTCACCTTGTTGTGTTACATCAAAGCTAATGCCAGTATGGCCCTTGTGTTCGCAGTATCACCATGAATGCCTCAACCTGCAGATGCAGCCCAAGGGGGATTGGTTCTGCGATGATGATTGCAGAGCCAATGCTGGGCTACCCATCCGCAAGGCGAAGAGGCGCAAGACGTAGAAGGTTTCGAGAGTGTTTGCGAGCAGCGCAGCATGTGGGACTTGCCCGGTCATTGTATGTCGCCGAGACGTTACTATTTTTGTCTCATGTTTTAGACAGATGACGTCTCATAACCATATACAGTAATCTCCCACGGGGGAGGGGGGGAGGGGGTTTTCACAAAGGTCCTTACTGCACTTTCGTAACCCCCGGTCGAGTATTCTTCGGACGCAACCCTCGTGGTCTTGTGGAGATCAAGGTGATAGAGGAGGCAGTTCTAGAGGCTAGAAAGCAGCGGTCTGGGAGGTTACTATGGGTAGTCGTGGCCTAGTCTCGAGTTGTCGGTAGCAACCGGTACTTAGAAGGTTCAACTCCGATGATACTCTGACCACCAGGTCTATGTCGGAGCTCATTCTGGATCAAGCTATTCGAAGCGCCGCGAGGATTCAGGAGGATTCCCTTGACTGAGGACTCTTGGAGGAGTCCTCCACTGCTCTCGCCATACGTGCACCCCTTGCTTCGTCCAGTTCAATATGTTCGACTCAAATGCAGCTCTGCTGGTGGACTGCAAATGCTTTCTGTGATCTTGAGCTTCAACATCGACACGAAAGTCGTCGCTGTCCTTTTCCTTCCAACTCAAAGCCACTGCTGAATCCTCGTCGCCCAAGTTGCACTATAAGGTGAGACTTGCACTCGCACGTAGTATGTCGATGGAGCGCAGGTATGGTGATCCATATTTGTTTGCTTGTCTTCCTGCATCGTTCATCGACGGCTGTACTGTGAAGGTCCATGCTGAGGCCTGAGGTTCCACGGTGATCGCCAGGCAGCACTCACGGTCCCATCTCCGGCGCAAACACCTTCCTCGCAACAGGACGTCAATATCAAAGATGCTTCGTGGGCGGCGGGAATCATCATACGCTTGAGCATTGACAGGTGGTGGATGCGGTGAAGCGCGTGCCGAAGGATCTGTCGGTCAGAGGGTACGTTGTACATATGCAGGAGCCATCACACGCGCGATGAGTACGTACTGACTGGTGACCGGACGCAACAGTTGACACTGCCATAGTAGAAAGTCAAGTTACCTGTCCACAAGTGGTACTATAGCAGCTGGTACGCATACTTCTATGTCCGAGTCTATGCGAGTGTCGATGCAATTCTCGAAAGAGGCTCGGAGAGTCCGCTGGAATTGAACACACGGGCTCCCCAGGCCACTTATCCACCACATCTCGGTGATGCGCTCAAGATGAAGTTGGCGAAGCTATCCACCGGACATCGGAGGCGGTGTGCGAGCCCCGTCGGGAGTGGGACAGTTACCGAGTTCAAATTGTCAGGCAAATTGCGACGCAGGTGGTGAGTATCATTTTGCAGTCGATCCGAGCAAGAGTCGTATCTCCTGAGCTATGTGCACGGAGAGGGACAACTGTGTCAACATGTGCGAGCTGGAACTGCCCGGCAGATCATGCTCACCGAGTTGTGCTCGTAGTTGATATCCCAGCACCTCGGTCCTCTGCCGTCAGCGTTCACTGCTTATACTAGTAAGTGCTCGAGTCGTTCGTTCCTTGCGTTCCTGCAGGCTGTGCATCAGGATACCATTTGCGGCCGGAGAGACATCATGAGCGTTGACGACGCCCGCACTGTTGTCATTGATCGTCGTCGTCATGCCTTCGAACCGTCAGTCTCCCGCTACTGGTGTCCGCAAGATGAAATGCTCGAGTCCGGTATACCTACATTTTTCATGTCCAAGCTTCGGCCACGTCTCTACTCTCGTAGTCCTCAGTACTGACTACTGCTTAGTAGTCTGGATGGGTAACCACAGCAGCACTTCTGCGGTTTAGGAGCTCCTCACGACGTCGAAGGCGAAGGCGGTTTCTCGCGGCTCTGTGCTACAGCAGGCTACAGCCAAGCACGGCTATCCGTAATGTTGGACGGACGCTTGTGGCTCCGGTCCTGAGACCTGAACCCGGAGGTAACAGACGTTGGCCTCATCTTTGATGGTGGTCTCGGGTCGCTCGCCGTACAGGCTTGGGCCGCTGGGTGGAGATCAACACTTTCAATTCGTTCACCAAGTCTCGCGACCAGCCCCCGTCTGCGATATGGTCTCCTCGTTTCGCCAAGAAATGTGTTACCGGCATGATCTCCACTGCCAGCGCCCGCACATCATCTGCAACCGCTGTTGATCTGCACATCTACGGAGACCCCCGGTATCGCCGCAACGCCTGCGCGCCCGCATGGGACGTGGTATATAACAGTTTCTCTGGCAGAGATGGAATCCTTACGGGTCCTGGTGATTCCCACTTCGTTCTTCTGCTGCCCTCTCCTTTTTATAGCCTCTAGAGCCGCTTTCCCCTTAATTTCGACTCAAATTCACGTCGTACCCTCACGAGTCTCGATTTCGCCATGGTCTTCAGCCCTTTACTCGTAGCTGCTCTCCTCCCCATCGCTGCCCAAGCGGTCAACGACTGGACAAAACCTTGCTTTGGCGAGTGTAACTGGGACATAACGAATGGCAGCGGGTCTGGCACGGTTCGCCTGGTGAGTATCGCGCTCCTACCTACACATTGCTTTCATCGCGCGCTCATTAAACGTGTCCTCCCAACCGCCACCTTCAAAACACAGGTCGGTTCACAATCCGGTGTCTCTGACCTGACCACTGCCGCGGGCTGGACCATCCTCGACTGCGACCCGAACACTGCGGACCAGGACATCCGTCTTGTCTGCCATGATCCCAGCATGGGCTGCGACCACCTCAGCCAGAACGGCGCGGAGGGCACGCTTGTCCGCCTCCCGACGTCCTGCGGCTCGATGCCCTTCGCGGTGGTCACGCGCGAATGGGTCCACCAAGACCAGAGCATCCCCGCGAGCAAGCGCTCCCTCCTCGTTCGCCGGGACGGTTCCCAGCCTACCGTCAAGGGCATCAGTCTCGCGACGGACTTCGCAGCCGTCGACCCCAACGTCAACGGCAATGTCACGCTCTTCGTGCAGGGATCGTCCATCCCGGGCGTCGCCGGCAACTTCACCGTGACGCCTCCGACGGCGGATGGCGCAGTCGCGAAGCGCGGCTTCTTCAGCTGGGTCGGTGATACACTCAAGGGCCTTTCCGAGGTGCACAAGAACATCACGGGCAGCAGCCCGCTCAACTTCGAAAAGGACGTGCCGCTGTTCGACCAGTCGTTCAACTGCCCGCAGAAAGGCGCTGTTCCTGCCTTTGATGGCGAGGCGAAGGTTGACCTGAAGGGTAAGGTCGATGGTACAGTCAACTACGGTGTTGCTGCGGCGGGATCCATCATTCCCCCGAAGCTCGACGAGTTCGGCTTGTTCGTCGGCCTCGACGCTACCGTGACCGGCACCCTTGGTCTCGACGCTACCCTTACTGTGAGTGGATTCTTTGAACTCACCTCGAGGTGCGGTTCCGCTGACACTGGCTCGCATGCAGGGTTCGATCAGCTCTGGCAAAATCCCATTGTTCGAGACTGGTATTCCTGGTCTCGACTTCCCCAAGATCTTGAGCATCGGTCCCACCTTCTCCGTGAACGCCGAGGCAACCGCATCGCTCGACGCGAACCTCAACGTCGATGTCGACCTCGCATACACCATTGCCGGCGCCCAACTCTTCTTCCCGCCCAACGACAAGCCCGCTGGGGCGTTCACCCCAGGTGACTCGAACCTCAAGCTCTCCGTCTCGCCCAACATCACCTCGCACGGCCAGATCGCGGCGCACCTCATTCCGTCGCTCGCGTTCGGCGTTGACGTCCTCTCCGGTGCTGCGAAGGCGACGATCAACCTTGACGTCGACGCGAGCGCAGGGGTCGACCTCTCCCTCACCGCCGTCGCCGAGGCCGGTGTTGGCACGAACGGCAAGTCCACCGATGCGTCGTTTGGTGGCTGCGTGGACGTCACGACCGGCCTTGCTGTCACCGCGGGCGCGGACGCGTCGCTGCTCAGCCTGTTCGACAAGAACACGAGCGTGGACCTGTTCAACAAGACGTTCGACCTCTTCAAGAAGTGCTTCGGGAGCAACCCTGCGCGTCGCGCGTACACCGGTCGCACCGCGCGTGCGGCTCTGATGGCCAAGCGCGACTCCGTGGGTTGCCCGTCGAGTCTCCTTGGCAAGGCCGCGTCCGTCGTGGAGGAGGCCGTCCCTGCTGCGAGGTGAGCGTCCTGTCCTTCCGTTCTCGTTCCTCCTCGCTGACTCACCTGTGACAGCATTGTGTGAA